TTTTCTGTATTTTTTCTTGACTTCAAATCGTTCTTTAATGCCCTAGGCTCTGTATGACATCAAAGAGAGCACATATGTCTAATATGGTGCACAGGCACATGGCTCGGGCTGTGAGGAAAGAAGCCCCGCCCACCTTTAGTTCAAATCTCCTGTTTGTGAGAGCTAGCCAATGAGATATAAGAATGCTTAAATCGAGGGTCCAGTGTACGATAAATAAGGACCTTTATGATCTCTGGTAGAGTCCAGCAATAAAAACATGGATCTGGAAACTAACATAATAGGTCATCTTTAAAACATAAATATAGATATTTAAATTTTAATTCACTGCTAATTCGCATGACTGACATAAACTGTAAGGTAGTGAAATAATCCAATTACCTACCAATCGAGTCAATATTTTGATCATCAACAATAGACGTACTGATATTGATGAACTTGAACTGGCTCTTATTTGTCTTAATTTCTTACATCATAGTTCTCCCTGCTTCTTCTGACTCTACATCCTAACTGTAGTATCTGTTCGTCTCTGAAGGTCTGCACTGGCTCGGTTTGTGTGAAGCACCACCTGGAGAAGTGCGACTGTCCAGGAGACTCCATGAGGGACAAATGCCACATGTGCTGCCAGAAGCCCGGTAACCACGGGAACATGTGTCCTCTGCTACAGAGGAATGTGTTTACACGCCGTGTCTCAACAACTCAGGCTGTGTTAATTAGTGCTGAGGTTACATTTCTAAATGATTGTGTTCACAGATCGTAGTTATTAAAGTGTTAAACTGTTTCTCAAACTCCGGTTTCCATTTCATATTGTCAAGTTTTGAGTAAGTGGCATATCTCTTTTATGATATACACACACAGGCTGGTATGCGGCTCAAGAAACTTGCTTTTGTAAAGTATAAACAGTATTTATACCCTCTCTCTCTCTCTATGTGTGTGTAATGTTTCTGTAACTTGATTTGATTTCCTTTGTTTGTATTTCTTGCAGCTCAGCCTGAGACTTGCGCGAGCACCACATCGTCTGTTCTGTCCGATCACTTCCACAAAAAAGTGTTGCCCCTGGTGGGCGGTGCGCCGTGCTCTGGAAACCGTGGATACTGCGACAAATTTCACGTATGCCGCATCCTCGATGCAGACGGCCCCATCGCGAGACTGAAGAACTCCTTTCTTCATTTAGATGACTTCGACGACGTGGGAGAGTGGATGAAGGTAGAATCCACATTAGTGCGATAACATCAGAATAAGATAAATACAATGATTGTCAGGTTTCGCCGCGTGGCAGGCACAGTTGGACCCAAACTCAGGACCCAAAAAATGGCTTTATTTCTGAAGGTAATAGGGCAGAGTGGACACACCTGAGGAACACAGCTGAACAGAATCCGACTGACGAGACAGGGGAAGCAAAACTGAACATGATACATAGGAGACCTTAGACCAGCGGTCCCCAACCCCCGGGCCTCGGACCGGTACCGGTCCGTGAGTCGTTTGGTACCGGGCCGTGAGAGTTGAGGCTCAGGTGTGAAATGTATAGTTTTCAGGGTTTTTATCGGTTTTCAGCGTTATTTTGTTATCGTTTTTATCGTTTACTCGGTTTTCCTGGGTCTTTTCACGTGTGTTATGAATAAATTTCTTTTTTTTGGTACCGGTACTAGTTTTATTTTGTTGTATTTATCGGCGACACCTTAAAGGCCGGTCCATGAAAATATTGTCGGGCATAAACCGGTCCGTGGCGCAAAAAAGGTTGGAGACCGCTGCCTTAGACTATTAAAATAAAACAGGAAGAAACACTGAGCCTAAGACATGAGGGATTGTAGCTGGGTCTAAATAAATAAAAATAAATAAAAATCTGCCTACACCTCAAAAAAGTATTCGATCTACACATGGCTATAAAACATGCAGCTTGTCTACTAGAAGCTCCTCTACTCTACTTGTTGAAGTATACTTGTTCATCTGTATGAGTCGGTGAACTTTAGGTTAAAAGCTCTTAGGTATAAGAAAAGGTGCTCGTGAGAAAGATGGTTGTAGTAATAAAGTACTTTTTGTGCAGAAGAAAAGTCCTCTTTCCTTCAGATTAGGTATGATCCAAAAAAAGAGGTTTACGACTGACGGCCTGTAGATCCACGTGATGAGCCCATCCCATTATTTGGCTGATATGCATTTGGCAGCTGGAGAACATTGGTTTTCTCTATCGGGGCCATATGTTGTTCATATCTGAGTGTTCAGTGTTCAGTCTTAAAACAAAGTCTTTTCTACAGTTTCTGGGTTGAAATGGTGTGGAAAGCACGTGCAGCAGGCCTTGAAACATGTTTTCTTTCAGCCGGTGGATGCGTCAGAAGTGTTACTCAATCGGTAGAGTTACCCAAAAGATCAGCTACCATATGTGCTCCCTGTGTAACAAAACAGGATGTTTGGCCATTGTGTTCATTTGAATAAAACAAGTAATTCAAAATGATATAGACCTTTTTTTTAATCCCTCTTGGTATCCTATTGGTCACTGGGAGAAACTGTGTATTTCCCAACCAGTAGGTGAGTAGTTGCAGGAGGTTGTTGGCTGTCACTGTGTGACATCAGTCACAAAAGTCACAACCAGTGGAATACTCCCTTTTCCCTAGAAACTAGTGGTTGCTAGGTAGTCATCAGCCAGTATATAGGTTATTGTGACTGGGACCTAACCAGTATGAAACCACAAAGCATTATAGACTGAAACTTTTGAAAGAAGAAACTGCACATGTAGTGTTTAAGTATCTGCTTCATAAACAAAAAGAGACACGATTGCGAAAGAAAAGGTAGATTAATACTCAGTAATAACACGGTAATAGCACAATAATAACATTATAATGGCCTGTAATGCTATTTAATTATAACATTATTACTAAATAATAGCTTTGTATCAGTGATGGGTTCTAGCTGAGTGATATTAGACTGATTTATGTAACGGGGGTAATAACTGAGGCAATAATATGAAAGTGAACAATAATGAACAATAAGGCAAAATCAGTGAGGTAATATTTTTGGTAAAGATATAAAAACCTTTGAACAATAAAATTATTGTTTCTGCTCAACATTAAAGATTAAATTAAAGATTTTTATTCTAGTGATCTTAATCTTAATCTTAAACCAAACAACACCAATGCTTCCAGCTTATTCGAAATCATGTTTCTGTTTATTCTCCTCAGGCTCACTGGTGGGCCATCCTGCTGGCTATCCTGACGCTGTCTGGAGTCATGGGCTGCACCGTCTGCCTCTGCAGCATTAAACTGGACACACGTAACTTGGAGTGACTTTTTATCCCTGAAGACTCTTGAATAAACGTCCTTTACCTGAGATCTTCAGGTGCCACGTCGAGGAGGATTCATCAGCTTTGTTCAACTGCCCAAAAACTCAGTCATGTTCACCGATGTCTTTGTGTAACTCTTCACATTTAGGAAAGACGCAAGAGTCTCCTGTGACGTACGTGTTGTGCAAATTGTTGCTTCTTCTGCTGCCAAATGTGGGTCAGTCAGCTGCCCCTCAGAAAGCTGAAGCACCGCTGCAATGTAAAGCCATCTGACACTACAAAGCCTTAAATGCACGAGGCATGTTTAAGACACTAATTTCAGGAGCATCCAGCTATCTCAACCATAACAACACCTGCAACTGAAGGGTCTGTGTGTACAAAGAGTTTGACGGTACTTTCTTTCAGTAGATACTATTTTTATCTTCAATCTTCTTAACGACCTACATAACAGTTTAGAATAAGATGTAAAACAAACTTATCTACGAGGTCAAACCAGCAAGTTGCAACCTTTGTGGTCCTGTAAGGAACCAAAGTGTGGTTAAACTAAAGCTGACGCTGCAGTTTACGGTGTCCTTACTCAGCATATCTTTGGGGTCACCTTGACACGTGTAGCCAAACACGTGTCACAACAGCACAATTACAAGGACTTGCAGAAACAACACAGCTTTTATATCAGAAACAGTTGTGAGTGTTTAAATTGTTAAAACTGTTTAGATCAAACACACTTTGATAATATTTTTTAATGGAACAAACAGCCTTGAGATGGTAAATAAGACTGATAATTATATATTTTTTTATACTGAGCGAGCAAGGAAGAAAAGTTGAGCATTTCTCTCGACCTTTAAAAAAATGCAAGCTCAAGACGACCTCTCAGGCGACACGCTGGTTTTATTAAAGAATTTATACAATAAAGAGACGTATTTACAGCTATGTACAGTGATTACACGAACACACTTTTTATAGATCAAATTCACAGAGAGGTGAAAATATATAACTAGCAGCGCTCCATATAAGAGACTCCAGTACTATATTATAGTATTTACATTTATTGTACAGGTGAGTGTTTTCTCTTTCCCTGTTTTAAGTGCAAAATACCTTTTTTTTAAAGTCACAATCATTACAGTACAATACCTCTGAAGAACTGAGGTTCAAGTATTGCTTACAAACTGGAAATGCATAATTGAATGAGCAAGAGCCAAAAAATAAAACCTTATCCACAGCAGACATTGCACTTTACAAACATTAATATAAGCTTTGCTTTCGAGCTCACGCCGAATATTACATACTCGTTAAAAGAAGGAAGCCGTTTTTAGAAGAGTATCCAGCACTTCTTTGAGGTGACGGCTTCAAAGTAACGTCTTCTTGCAGGAGTGAAGCAGTAAAACATGCAAAAGCATTTAAAATAACACCTTTTTCAGCTTTGAGTGCTTCAGTATAAGTTCATACAGTAAGAACAACGGACCCCGAGTTGGAAAGCAACAATAAAAATCCGAAAAGTCAGTTTGCAAGAGCTTGCTTCTGCTGCTTGTTTACAGTAAGGCACACTGATACAGGTCCCACAGTCACATACAGCGCTGAGAGTCACAGTGGTGAATGCTCGGTGACTTAGTACTTACTTAGGTAACACAAAAAGGTAACTAAACTGTAACCTACTGCTTAAAACGCACAAAAAAATACACCTTTAATATTATTTTTCCTCATTTTCAGAGGTGTCACTCTATTATATTTCACAGTGGTTCCTTTATATGAAATATTATTATTGTACTACACATCATTAGTACCTCTACAACCAAACTTCTGATCTGGCCTGTCAGGAAGATTTACTAGTAGTACAACAATCAAGCAAAAGTCATTAAATTACTTTTTTTTTTTACAAAGTATGACATAGTATTCACATACATGTTGTTTTAAACATTATACCTATTTGGATATATCAAGGTGATAAAGGCTTTCAGATATTTACTGGTGTATAAAAGTTACTAGTGTATAAATTATCTGCTAAGTGCTGAAATGGACAAAGCGGATGGTGGAGAGCGTCTTGTCTTCACGATCAGTGGTTCTCCAGAGTTACTCTACAGACAGAAGCAGCAAATGTATTGTTATTTATCAGCGTTAGCAATTCAATTCAATTCAATTTTATTTATATAGCGCCAAATCACAACAAAAGTCGCCTCAAGGCGCTTCATAGATACAGAGAAAAACCCAACAATCATATGACCCCCTATGAGCAAGCACTTTGGCGACAGTGGGAAGGAAAAACTCCCTTTTAACAGGAAGAAACCTCCGGCAGAACCAGGCTCAGTAATGCAATGGTAAAGAGTAGAGTTAACACAGAGGCAAGCTCACCTTCTTAGAGTTCGCTTTCTGTTCGTCCTCCACGAATCCTTACATTTAACGAACGTGAGCTCCTGTGTCAGCTTCTGAGCGTCAGCATCTTTTATGCAGAACACCATCCTGTGGGAGAAATTCATGAAATGCTGCTTAGCTGTGCGTGTTCAAGTAGCTCCGTGAGATTCTGCTTAAGCCTGTGCTTTAAGCTTGATATATTTTAGCCATAAATCCCAGTAAAAGACACATTTCTATGAGGTCCATCATGGAAACTCCAACACTGGCATTTCATTTTTCTTCTGGCAGACAGACATTATTTGGTAACTACACCTTTAATGTTCTGCAACTCACTTTTGTTGCGTCTCGCCCGCTCTAATGCGGATTTTGTGAACCGCCACGTTAGCGCCATCTGAGCTGCCAGACCACCAAGAGGAAACCATCTTCAGCATGCTTGACGCGGACCAGCCGTTCGTCTCCTCCCACTTAAACTTCAGCATCAGCAGGTCACCGATGTCTTTCTCCGTCACCAGCAGGAACGAATGTGTCTTATTTGTGAGAATTTTCTCCTTTCTGCCAGACACGGACGGAAAGAAACGTTGAAGCTCCACGCATACACGTAGCCAACATGTTTTATTTAACCGAGGCTTGTAAAGTATGCGCCATAAAAGATGATAAAATGTCGATGAAAGCACGCAGTAAAGGCCCAGCAGTGAGATGTGTTTGTGTGTGGTTGCCTCTTTCTGTTTATGGTTTCTGTCTCGTGCTGTTTTCTTTGATTACTGTGCAAGTGTTAAAAACAACTCGTAACGTGAAAAATGCAAGTCACTGTGCAGTAATTCTTCTTTATAAGCGTTCAAACCCTCACTCACAGTTTAAGCTGCAGGTTTTCAGCCTCTCCTTTGGCTCCATACAGCGAGACAGTAAGCGAGGGCTCCATATCCGAGCTATTCACCTTACTGGAGAAGTGGATCTTCAGCTGATAGTGGTAAACTGCAAAACAAAGCAACAATTTGCACCATTTAAGCACCCGAAAGCTTAACGTAATAAAACTGCTCCAGATTTAATGGGTTTAAGTTTCACCCAAAGCAACTAGAATCTCGTTTTTTTAGATTATTCTTTTCTTTTTGTTTCTGCAAGTACATCAGCTTTCACGTGATAACAGCGCTGATATTAAAGAGCGCGCCGCTGACCTCTGAAAGGCATGGAGGATCGTGTCTTGGTGTACATCTGAACGCTGCGAGGCTTGCGGACCTTGCTGATGTCGTAGCCCACCGTGTTGCAGCGGCTTTTCCGGCAGCTCAGGCACATCCCGCGGTCGAACATCTCGTTGCTGCCGCACCTGTACGCCGTGGCCGCTTCCTGCTCGTTCAGCAGGGAGTCGATGAAGAGGTGAACCGAACGCTCGTGTTCACACTTGACGGCGTCCGACACAGCTGAGGAGGAAAGAAATGGATGCAATTTATTATCTGCTGTAATTCTCTACATTGCATACTTTTCCATTCAGTAGCTGACCGTGCTCCGGGTAAATTTACTTATTTTTAATCTGACCTTTCCTCAGCCATGTTTGGAAGCCTCTGTTTATTTTCACACTGGTGTGAATGACGTCATTGTGCAGCTGTCATTAACAATGTCCACTGCTAAGATATTAATGACAACAACAAGCAGTTACAAGCTTCTAAGCGGCACGCTCTGTGTA